GAACACGTTTAGCTAAAAAGACTGCCGCTCCAGTTTAGGGTTTATTGTTGTTTCTGCAGTTAAAAAGACAAAGTTGACAATCCTGGCCATACTTTCGTCATTTTAATAATTTCTTTATTTTTTATTTTATTAATTGATCACTCAGGGTGATCTAATTTAACTATTTGTGACTTGTGTTTTGAATATTTGTTCCCCTGCACTTTAGGCATTTTGCACACATTTGTTCTGCTTCTTGTGACTTGATTCTGACTTATTTCGTTTTGTATTTTTATTTATTATAAATGTAGGCCTATATTGTGTTCTTAATTGTTGATTATTTTTCAGTGCATCGATGTTGCGCTGTAGGCCTACTTAGGACATGCTCGTACAGGCAATTCAGCCGATTTAATTTGATTTGCATGTGAAATGCAAATCCTATCTGCAGTGTGGCCTTTCTGCAGTTATTTATGTTATTTCTTAGTTTTATTGATCCAAAATGTTTTTATACATTTTCTTCTATATCTTTGTGTGATGTTCTGTACATGGCAGCTTTAAAATGTTAAAGCCCCGCCCCCTCCCCAACACCACACATATGATTCGACTATAGGCAGGACTTGACGAATCTGATTCGACTATGAAAATCCTTAGTCGGGGACACCCCTAATAAAAACAATGGCAGGAGGGGTGGAACGGTACATGTATTCGTATCGAACCGAAACGGTACGGGCGTCACGGTTCGGTGCACAAATTTACACGGAGAATACACGGTATAAAAATAAATAAAACTCGCGTGAAAATTAATTAATGTAATGCGGAACTACTGTTAGATACGCGGGTTCTTTAGGGACACATAATCTGTACCATCGGCTTAGCTCTGAACGCGCGTTCACTTCAAACGTTGGCTTTATACGCGCGTCCTATTCGCTTTGGACTAGCGTCGAACTAGACGCGATTGACACGAATTTAACGCTCTATTCGCGTTTGGTGTGACCGCATAATGAACAGGCTGCGATGTCAAGATTGCAATGCTGGAGTGTGTGTGTTTGTGTGTGTGTGTGAGAGAGAGAGGCGCGGCCGTGATCGAACAGTGGAAACATAAAAAACATACTCCGTCATTTTGTTCATACAAATCATTAAACCTGCAAAGTGTTTACTTAAATTTGTGTACACTCGCAATAAAACACAATATTGTGCTTTTGTCACACTGGAAACTCATGTCAAACTGTAACCTTCAACTGTCACTCAACCAAAATCTCTCTCTCTCTCTCTCTCTCTCTCTCTCTCTCTCTCTCTCTCTCTCTCTCTCTCTCTCTCTCTCTCTCTCTCTCTCTCTCTCTCTCTCTCTCTCTCTCTCTCTCTCTCTCTCTAACACACACACACACACACACACACTGTTTTAAAAGCAAAACATATTTATCCAACTCCATTTCAAAACAGTCTGTGGGTCCCATCTTTTGGACATTCATCATATTGCATTGGTTTTCATTTCTCGTCCTCGGAGCACTAATCTTACACATTCTACATTGATTAAAAAAGAAAATCGAATATATTTTTAATGGTAGTATTATTTTATACAGAAATCAATTATTTATAATTCAGATGAGAATAATGTTACATTGTTAATTAATAATGTTAATTAAAATTAAGAAAAACAAATATATTGATCTGAAATATAGCAAATTAATTTTAAATTAATTCAGGTACAATTACCAAACATATCGCAAGGTCTTTTTGTCTTTTTATTAATTTAATTTATAAACTAATTATATAAAACTATTGTCAGTGCACTACAAATAAACTGGTTCTATGCCTTTATTAATAAAACTTATTTAAAAAATACAATGCCTTCTGCATTTTTGTTTTGCTTTTCCCTCCATTGTACCGAAATCGTACCGAACCGTGATGTCTGAACCGAGGTATGAACCGAACCGTGACTTCTGTGTACCGTTCCACCCCTAGGAAGAATGCAAGCTGTTATCAAGGCCAAAGGACGCCACACAAAATATAATAATTGTGTGTGAATATAGACTTTAGTTGTTTCAGTTTGTTGTTTGCCTAATAAATGACAATAACATTTTTAGTTTTAAACAAGTTTTTGACAGATTCCTAAAATATTTGTTTTCTCTTTATTATGACAGGTAGTCTAATAAATTTGTTAAGCATTGTATATATTTTTTAACATAGATAATACAAATTAATATATTGTTTTCTTTTTTACATTTATTGGTATCAGGCAATTTTATATATTGGATATTTAATTGTACATTCTCATTTTCCTGTGTTTTTACTTTTCATTTTTTTGTTGTTGAATAAATTAATAACATTGTTAAATGAGAATTTTAGAGATTAATTTGTAAGACTATGCATTTTTAGTACTGTTCATTATAATCTTGTGATCCCTACATTTATTTGTAACAATCAATCAAATGATTGATTAACTTTTATTTTTGGTTTTATTTTTAATTTAATTAGACATTTTCAGCCAGTTATTGGTTATCAGCTAGCCTGGTTAAAACCAGACCATTCTCAGTTGTAAGTTGTAGGGTACAAAATCTGCTTCAAAATCCCAGCGCTGTCGTCATCGTGTAAAGCCCGCCCCAACGTTTCTGATTGGTGCCGCGGTTTCGACGGATTGGAAATGGGTTTGAATGAGCTCTTTGCCAGACTAACTTTCAGAGCAAATCTAAATTTGCCGGAAGTCGTCTGGGTTTTCCCAGGCTAGTTATCAGCCGGAACATGAAAATAATTATTTGTTTCTCGGTGGCAGCCAGAATTGAATTTCGGTGCAACCCTAATTATATATATATATATATTTTTTTTTTTATTACAGGGAATCCAGGCTCTGTGATGAGTCCAGCAGGGGCCTCACAGTCTGAGGATCAGCTTTACATGGATAAACTGAAGCAGCTGTCAAAGTATATTGAGCCGCTGCGCAGGATGATTAACAAAATAGACAAAAATGAGGGTACTGGAGACTTTTTCTCTTTTGGTGCTGATTTATCTTTTTCCCCTTGATTTTAGTGCTCATGCTTTGTTTGGTCTTTACAGACAGGAAGAAGGATTTGAGCAAAATGAAAAGTTTGCTTAACATTTTAACTGACCCCAACACAAGGTAGGAAAGCCGGCATGTTGAACACTGTCTCTAGTGTTGATTTTTGACTTGTGATTAAGGCTGCATTATTGCTGTCTTCCACTAGGTGTCCACTTAGAACACTACAGAAGTGTGAAATAGCATTGGAGAAACTAAAGAATGACATGGCAGTGGTGAGTAACCTTTTTTTTCAAGATAGGAAGTCAGTTAAGTTGCTGTTCATTTAAAAGCAGTAACAGATTTCTACAGTGATGTCTTGACTTTTATTTCCAGCCGACTCCTCCCCCTCCCCCAGTGCCCTGTACCAAAAAGCAGTACCTTTGCCAGCCGCTGCTGGATGCTGTTTTGGCCAACATCCGCTCCCCGGTTTTCAACCATTCACTTTACCGCACGTTTGCTCCTGCTATGACAGCAATTCATGGACCCCCAATCACGTAAGATTAACAGCTAAAATTATTATTATTTTCTCATTTAAGGCCGGTTACCAGGGCTGCATTTATTTGATCAAATATACAGTAAACTGTAATATTGTTACACTTTAAAAGAACTGTTTTCTATTTGAATATATTTTAAAATGTAATTTATCCTTGTGATGACACAGCTGAATTTTCAGCTTCCATTGTTCCAGTCTTCAGTGTCACATGATCCTTAAGAATTAATTTAAAAAAATGCTGATTTGATGCTCAAGATATATTTTATGATTTAGTATTAATCATAAAATACAAATATAAATGTACGTAACAAATGTAAATGTAGTATTATAAAAAAAAACATACTGACCCCAAACTTTTGAACTGTAATGTATATTATACATTTTATAAATTATATAAACTATACATTTATAACAGAGTATATCACCATGTAGTTTGTTATTTATGTTTTAAAAATATATTTTTTAATAATCTCTTTAAAAGATAATCGTAACAAATGAAGTATTGCATTAGTGCAAAACAGCTTCACAATATTTATAGTTTTGCATAAAAAAAAACATTGTATTGTGTGTATATATACCACCCAGCTTTAACTCGTAAATGTACATATTACAAAATATATTCCTTCATTACAGGGGTCCCTCAATTCCTTCCCGTAAACGGAAGCTTGAAGATGACGAGCGCCAGACCATCCCGAACATACTTCAAGGGGAGGTGGCTCGGCTTAATTCCAAATTCCTGGTCAATCTGGACCCGTCCTTTTGCAGCAACAATGGAACGGTGCATCTCATATGTAAACTAGGTCAGTTCAAAACTTATGACCACTATATGCGTCATGTACACTTGTACAAATTAAACATTCACTCCTGGCACTGTCTCTGTCTAGATGATAAAAATCTTCCCAGTGTTCCCCCTCTTCAATTGAGCATTCCAGCTGACTATCCCGATCAGAGCCCCCACTGGGAAGATGACGGTCAGCAGTATGGTGAGTCTTCGTGTATTAACTGTCAGCATGCTATCTTAGGCTGCCTTTTAAAATGCATCCAGTTTAAATGAAAAAATATAGGCTGTGAAACGTATGAACTGAACACGTCCTTACCTTCCTCTCCGTTTTCAGAGGCCAACCCCTTCTTGCAGACTGTGCATAAGAACATGACCTCTAAACTCCTTCAGCTTCCTGACAAGCACTCGGTGACGGCACTGCTGAACACCTGGGCTCAAAGCGTGAGACAGGCTTGCCTTTCAGCTGCTTAGATGTTTTCCCATCAGCACTAGCAGCCCAGTATAATCCTTGCACCTCAATGGAATGATGGCAATATATTAATACTTTCTTTGTCTTTTTTATCTACATGAATAATCGTCTGTTTTCTTTATTCCAATACACTAAAGCCTTAACTGTTTGTGCATTGCTTGATCAATAAAGACATTTAAACTGCTGTTTCAATCGTAAATGTGTGGCATAGAACTCAAATACATGTAGTTATATAAGCACATGACTGGTCCTTCAGCGCATAGTCCTCTGTAGACGACGTCTCTGCACAGCCAGAGTTCTCCTCTGTCTGTCTGCTATGTTGTTGTTGAGGGTCTGTTTGAGGGCAGGGAGGATCACTTTCTCTGCTTTACTAGCCTGAGACACGGGTCTGTTCAGATAGTAACAGAGCAAAGGTTGGTATCTCCAAAACTGGCTTGTTCTTGGCAGGCAGGTTAGAAACAAAATATATATTTGAAATTTACAAGCATTGACTTACAGTCCTCTAGGCAGGGTTTGGAAAGAAATCTGAGGAAATGTCTCTGAATCTTCAGCTCTGGCAAAAAAAAAAAAAAAAAATTATGTGTGCATGCATACATACATACATATATATAGATAGATAGGTCCCACTTTATATGAAGCGTCTTTAACATTTAAATTAATCATTTGATACAATGCACTTGCTTTTACATTCTACTTAAAAATATAGGCATGTACTTGCATCTGTAATTCATTTCTGCAATTACATCTATAATTACACTGATGACCCTTCCCTTACAATTTAACCCACCCTTAAACCTAACCATATCACTAAACCTGTCCCTTTTTATGACGGTTAAAGAAACCAATATAAAGTGGGACCTATATTTTTAATATTTTCAAGACAATTAACTATTTCCATTATATATATACATTAAAAAATGAAATGTGGCTGGAACATTTTCTTGACAGGCTTTTTGAGATGCGGAAATTAAATGTAGTGATAAAGAAATTACCTTTTACCATCTGCAAGAAAAGCCTTGGTCAAAATGTAATTCTCTGCAGAGATTTTCTTGTTGAAAACAATGTCTTTGAGAACAGCCTTCACACGTAGGATCTGAGAGGAGACAAATTAAAATGCATTATACAGTACATAGTCATTCTTGTATAGTGAGAGAGATTGAGAAATATAGTCTCACCTCCTGGGACTGCAGGCTATTAGCGCTGTACAGTTGGCGTATGATGACCTCACATTCCTGTAGGGTGGGAGGTCGAGGGGCCTGAAATGGACTACACTGGATCATTAGAGGCTGAAGAGAAGTGATGAATCCTGCTCTGGCTTCTGAAGGGCCTTCTATTCTGTCTGCTGCGAGGGTCTCGGAAGAATTTGATCTAGTTTCTCTATAGTTTAAAGAACTGCTGTAGGCAAAATGTATGTATCCACTTATTAGATCTTTATTATAATAACTATTTAATTAAATAATAATAATGTTTGCAAGCACCTGATCTCTGTGCTTTGTGATGAGTAGGTGTCCTCCAAAGTTTGCTCCAGATAGTTATTTCTGTCTCTCTGAAATTTGTTGCTTTCTGTGTGACGCCTCTGGATACGGCTGGATCCTGTCATGGGATTAAACTTGAATGTCATATGGTTTTGATCAAGAAAATGTGTGAGAGAACAGAAGTGTCACTTAACCTTTACTGCTCAACTTTGGAGGCTCCATTATCAGCTTATACTGCAAATCTGTAACAAAAACAAAAAAATATATAATTGAGTGATATTTAATTAGTATGTCCAGTTTAATGCATTTATGAATCATGCAGGGAAACCAGACATAGATTTAGGCTACTTTTTTATTTATAATATAGTATAATTTATAATATTCAATATGAGAGTACTTTTTTATTTATGACATATCCTTGTATGCAATATATGTGCCTTATGGCTTAATTTAATGGCCTTTCAGAAAAAGTGAACAATAAGACAATTATGAAAAACAAAATTCATGAAATGGAAAATATCGTTTTACCCAACATAAATCAATAATGAAAAGAAGGCTATAAAATTATTACAACAGATAAAACTCGGAACAACTTGTCCCAAACTGACATTTATGAAAAATACTCCAGTGTTTCATTGTTAACCCAAGAGCAAAAACAAAAATATGAAATTGCATTTATACAATATTTGACTCAAATATCGCATCTGTGAAAACTAGTAGGCCTACCGGTCTTACATATTAGCCTACTATCAGCAAACATTTATTTCTCGTGTATTTCTTTCGCCCGTTTGATGTAAGCAAAATACCTTTACATTTGACCAAACAAATCTCCTTTTGACAGTCAGAAACAAAACACCAAAACGTTTGTCTGTAAACTGATACTTTGCCACCCACAGCGGTTACAAACGCCATTCTTTCATTTTCTTCATTCAGCAGCTCGACGTCACCAGGCAACCTGTAGCAATACTGAAGTATCACCTCTTGACACCCCTGCCCTGACAGCAGGTGCCCGTCCTCATTAAAGATACACTTCACCTGAAAATTAACATTCTGTCATAATCATTTACTCGCCCTTGTCCTAAACCTGCATAACTCAGCTCACTTTCATTGCAACTTTCCTTACAGTGAAAGTGAATGGTGACTGATGCTGTCATTCCACCTAACATTGTATTGCACAAGAAAATCATACCGGTTTTGACAACATGAGTAAATGATGACAATTAATTGGGTGAACTAAACTCACAGGCAAGCAAGCAGAAAGATTATTATAGCAACCACACAGGCACCATTACTTTTATTAACGGTACCTAAACAGCTTCTCGTCATATTTTCAGTCAATTAAAATAAAAATGTTACATTGTTAAGTGTACGGACAACTATGTCCCACTCACACATAAATGTATTGTTCACGAAAAGACCAAAACATTATTCCTGTAATATACAGAAGGTAATTTAACATAAATGTACCTTTGTTTTGCCGTTTTAAACTATCTATTTCACCATGTAATTTCTCCAGAGTTTCCCTGTGCTGCTTTTGTAAGAAGTCAATATTCCTCCGCAGCGAGTCGACTCGCGTATCCATTTCACTGATTCCCACAACGATCTTTACGTCACATGCGTCTAATCAAGCGGATGACGTTTCACTGCCTCGTTGCGTCATAACTTATGTTTTAGCAAATACTCCTCCTGCTAAATACATGTTTCAAAAACGGTACACTCCTCTCGGACTGGAACGTTTAATCGTGAAGTGGCTGCTATGGTAACAGCACTACTTCCTCCAATACAGCTGGGAAATAACAGATTTAACAACGGCATTGCATTACTTCATTCAGTGTGAAATTACGTAGAGATCTGATACATTATCTTTGTTTCTACAGCAAAGAAAATCCAGTACACAAATGAGACACATTATGTTTAATGAAATGGAGCCAGTTAAATGCAAACTTTGGATTGTTCTGACAACCACATTGCCAAAACACCATTATAAATGAACTCAATGACTGATAAACTGGATTAACCACATTTCATAAAAAAAAAAAAAAAAAAAAAAAAAATTGTATTGGATACAACATTCCTGGTTCAATTTGTCATTAAATGTACCAATACACTTTCAGTGCAAATACTGTATATAAAAACCTTCATGCACCTTTGCTTGAAGTTTTGTATTGACATTTAAAAAATAAAAAAGGCATGATGAACCTCCATCTACTGAGTCTTTAGTTTTTCATTAAAGAAATTCAAGAGGAGCTCATAGAGAAAGCTGACGATGAGAATGAGTCCAGTGCTGGAGAGAACACCGAATGATAGTAGTGCAAACAGCATGTAGAGCAGGAGGAGAACGAGAAGGGTGCGATAGCTGGCCAGAACCCGCAGGCTGAGACGGACTCGCTGAGGACGTTCCCTCATCTGCCGCGTCACCGGACTCTTCCGCCGTTGCTCCACAACCGAGGTACTGCTCAGGTAGTGTCGTCCTAGTCTGCCCAGGACGTCCTGTCGAGAACACAGCGCTTCCATGTGGTCTCCCAACTACAAGACACAAACAATATGGTCACATCTGACTGAAATTAAATGCAAATGCAAGACCATAATTGCAGGCTAAAGCAATATTCTTACTCTTGCATTCATAAAGGTTGAGATCTGGAACAGCAGTCGAACCAAAAATGCATTTTCGTAGCTCCTGATAGGTTGAAGCTCTGGGTCTCCTTGATATTCGATTTCAAATCGGCGAAGACCATTGATGATCTGTAAAAAAGGAAATTATACAGGTAGAAAATCATTATGATTTGCTAAATGAATATGTTCAAGAAGTTCACCATTCTCAAACTCACCTGCAACCTGCCCAGGTCTGTTAACACAAGGCCATTCTCACTCGGGATGCAGTCTGGCAGTTGTTTAGACGCTCCTTCATTGTCTACAGATGCTACATTGACAATCAGCTGAGACAGCTGCCCAGCATTTAACTGCACAAGATAAGAACCAAAATCAACTCATTCACCTTTCATTTTATGTAATTAACTAAGTAAATAAATACATGTACCGCCATTCAAAAGTTTGTGGTCTCTAAGAATTCCCCCCCCAAAGAAATTAATAATTTTATTCAGAAAGGATGCAATATATTATTTAAAAGTGACAGTAAAGACATTTATAATGTTACAGAAGATTTCTATTTCAAATTAATGTGCTTCTTTTAAAAAAGGTTTTTAATAAACAATTTCCACAAAAATATTAAGCTGCACAACATTAATAAGAAATGTTTGCTGAGCAGCAAATCAGCATATTAGAATGATTTCTGAAGGATCATGTGACACTTAAGACTGGAGTAATGATGCTGAAAATTCAGCTTTGCCATCACAGAAATTAATTGCATTTTAAAATATATTAAATATAAATATTTTTTTTTACAAATTTACCGACCCCAAACTTTTGACGTACATCCTAAATAAAAGCAGGAATAGACTGACTCTGAATATTTGACAGAGATAGTCCAGGGCTTTGTCCAGGAACTCGTGAGTTTTCTTCACACCCTCTCCCAAATCGTCCATCTCTCCTCCACTAAAAGTGTTGTTATGATCGAAGGAGCCGACGCCAAACCACGAGAGAAAAGAATTGTTCGAAGCCATTTCCGTAGAATGATCCGATATCCGTTTGGCAGTCTGTCGGGCTTGGGCAATAATCTGGATGAGCTTTAACACCTGGAATTGACAGAGGGAATCATGGTCTATAACCCCTTAAAGCCCTGAGGGTATTTTTTAGAGTTTTTTTTTCTGAGTGACACAAACAAAACTAAAGACTCATAACTCCAAAACTATATCAAGGAGAGTCAAAAGGTAGGTATTGTTTGATCCTTTTCAAATTTTTAGGACATATAAATTACATTAGGACATTCTCATGCCGAGAAACTGCTGATAAAAGACAAAAAAATTATATAATTTTTATAATAATTTTGCATATCCAGGGTACCCCCAGGATCCTCCAACTTAAATTCCAGGCTTTTTAAGACCTTTTTAATACCATTTCAAATGAAATTCAATGCCAACTTCGTACCCATTCCGACAGAAGTATGAGGGGAAAATGTCAAATCTGTATGCATTTTAAACCCTAGAAACTAATTATGTACAAGGAGGCTACTTGAATTAAATAAAACATTTTACTTAAATTATCAGTCATATTTAATACATACGCAACAGCATTGTAGCGCGCACGTGTATGTAGGCCAGTGTTCATTTTGGCAGCCATTTTTGATTTACGAAAATGCTTATTGGTCTTAATCACATTTGAGTCATCCTGTTTTTTATAGTTGTAGTTGACGAAAAGTCTTTGCATTTTTTGTCAACTTTTAGTCAAACTGCAGTTACTTTACTTTTGGTAGTTATTTTATAGCTATGTAGTCTTTAGACAGAAAATGTAATAATAATTATTCTCTCTAGGCCAATTCAATTAAGCTTATGAGAAATTATTGACATTGCACTCTTTAGCAGTAGCACTTGTGCAGTTCTACATAATTTGGTTCTCCAATGTTTTAGAGTGCCGTACCCCCTGGTGCAGTCACACCTTTTCTATTAAGGGACAAGATTTGCCCCCTTTAATACATTTTTCCATTTCATTTTTTACCTTTGTAATACCTTAAAAAGAAAAAAAAGAAATAATGCTTTAAATAAAACAATGTTCATTAAATTTGCAATGTTAAAAAACATTAAAATCGCCAGTAGGTGGCAGTAACTCACTATCTTTATGAGTGAGTCTTTGAGTCATTCATTCATTGAATCTCACGATTCGTTCAAAGCCACATATTTCGTTGCAAAACAGAGCAAGCCTGACAATGCTGTTTTAAATGTAGTACATCACTTAATGTTACCCTTTTTTCTTTTCTTTTTTTACTGTTGTATAAAATCAATGTCACGTTTGAAATCGTGTGGATATTCGGGAAACATTGCATTCTTGCTCTTATGAACACTGGTGGATATCTCAGCCTGCATTTTGATCGCAGATTTAGTCGCACAAACAGCGCAAGCGGCTCGTGACAGAACACAGACCGACTGAATGACACTTGAATTTAAGTAGAAAATCTTAAATAAAGATCGCTGAACTCCAGCTTGTCTGTGTTTTCAGATCATCCGCGCTTCTTCAGCAGTGTAGAGAGAACACGCGCGCATGGTTGCCAGATACTATTGAAAAGACCGGGTAGAAAATATGTTCTTTTAACAGAAAAGCTCTTATTTGGGGTTTAAATTCTGTCATTTGTGGCCACAGCGGATTAAACTAGGCTATCTTGTTCTGTACCTCACTTGCCTAGTAACCATAGTAACGGTGCGCACGCTTTCGCTTTTTCTGCTATGACGTGGAGCGCGAGGTGCACTCAACGCTGCATACATTTTTAATTAGCCTACATTAGTAACAGTTAATTTTGTTACGGTATGAACTTAATCCTAGCAAAGGCAAAAAAATATATAAGACCTTTGTAACGAAATCCAAGACTTTGTATACTAAATTCAAGGCTTTTAAGGCCTTAATTTGAGATGATCAAATTCAAGACTTTTTCAAGGCTTTTAAGACCCGCGGGTACCCTGATATCTTTCTTGTTTGACATGCAATAACTTGGGAAGGAAATACTGTATGGTGAAATTCTTCTTTGATGAAGTTCCCCTAAATGTGACCTGCATCTGGATCAAATTTTGTGGTGATTGCATAAAGTAATCAAAAGTTACAGCATTTGGAACCAAGATAGCCTTTTCGTTCAGCCCTTGACGCCCCCTAATGGGCATTTTTAAAATTGTTCCTCCATGATCAACGCAATAGCTCATTTTAATTGTAATAATATGCTGTAAAAAATGATATGCCACTTTCAACGATCTGTGAATGTTTCATGAGCTGTATGATGTTTTTAACACATTGCAGTACATAGTACAAAACTACCGGCGGTACACTTCGGGTTTAAGAGGATAATATTCCTTTCTGTGGTAACACCATTCAGGAAAAGCTGACTGCTTATCGTATGCATTTAACACTGATTTTGCAAGAAACACTAACTCTTTTTTTAGCACATGAAGAATTAATTGCCAGCTTACAGTTTTCCGTAGATCCGGACCAAACATCAGGTTGTACTGGCAGTCCTGCCCTTCCAGGCTATAAACATGACTTTTGACCTTGAAGACGCTGTCCGTCCCCATTGGCTGGCGGGAAGAAAGGAAGCTGCCACCATGTGAAGGTGTCAGGAAGACACGGTTCTGTCGTTGGAGAATGGCATGCTCCGGCTCCAAGAACAGCTGCTCACCTGGAGATATAAACTAATTAATATGCTCATAAAAAAACAAAAAACAGTATCATATCATAATAAAAATCCATGGGGTGTTGTTTACAATATAAAATAATATGAAACACCACTCAAAAATCCATTCATTTATATTTCCCAAAATACCGTTCTGGATCATCTCTGACAGATTTGGTTGAACAAAGACTTTGGCGACCCTAAAGATCATCAGGGCGTTTTTGGCATTGACCAAGTCTGTGCGCATGGCTCGATTCAAGAAGACCTGGAAAAGCTTTGTGTACATAAGCAGATTCTCCTGGACAAATGATGCCCTGTA